AAATATGCAGACTATCCAATGTGATGACGAATGTAAATCAACTCATTAAATATGCGGACTATCCAATGTGATGATGAATGTAAATCATCTCATTAAATATGCAGACTATCCAATGTGATGAATGTAAATCAACGCATTAAATATGCAGACTATCCAATGTGATGATGAATGTATATCATGTCAATAATTATGCAGACTATCCTAATGTGAATATGAATGTATATCATCTCATTAAATATGCAGACTATCCAATGTGATGAATGTAAATAAACTCATTAAATATGCAGACTTTCCAATGTGATGATGAATGTATATCATCTCATTAAATATGCAGACTTTCCAATATGATGATGAATGCATATCATGTCAATAATTATGCATTCTATCCAAATGTGATGATGAATGTAAATCAACTCATTAAATATGCAGACTATCCAATGTGATGATGAATGTAAATCATCTCATTAAATGTGCAGACTATCCAATGTGAGGATGAATGTAAATCAACTCATTAAATATGCAGACTATACTAATATGATGATGAATGTAAATCAACTCATTAAATATGCAGACTATCCTAATGTGAATATGAATGTATATCCTCTCATTAAATATGCAGACTATCCAATGTGATGATGAATGTAAATCATCTCATTAAATATGCAGACTTTCCTAATGTGATGATGGATGTAAATCAACACATTAAATATGCAGACTATCCAATGTGATGATGAATGTATATCATCTCATTAAATATGTGCACTATCCAATGTGATGATGAATGTAAATCACATCATTAAATATGCAGGCTATCCAATGTTGATGATGTATGTAAATCATCTCATTAAATATGCAGAGTATCCAGCATGGACTTTTTTATCCCATGTATCCAATGTAGAGGAAATATTTAAATCACCTCATTAACAATATTTAATACAAATACACATATTTTAAGCATTACACTTATTTACTCAATTTAGTTTGTCTTGTATACAGTAAAATACAATAAGTTAAACCATTATGTAACCCATAAAAATAAATAAAATATTCAAAAATGTACTCTGCATGAACTAAAAAAATGTAAACATTATCACCTCAAAAGTTCACAAAATATGACTCTTAAAAGGGAGAGGTTTGCTTACAACAAAATAGATGATCATCACAACATTGTCAACATTACTGGGGTAAGCAAAATAACTTGAGTATTAACAATATTTATATGTACATGGCTAAAAAATGAATGTCTGGAAAAAATTTACATTTCGGATAGACTTGGTTTAAAGGTTAAAATTTAATACAACTAAAGTCTTCTATAATGATGCAAGTGCATGCAAGTCAGTGGTTGCAATTTTGTTTGTACAACATTATAATTAACAAAAGTGTAAATCAAAGCTTCTATAAGTAATTATGATGTAAATATTGAATGTCAAGATTATGCAAATGTATATTCAAAATATCCGATTCCATTCCCCTGATACCACATACTGTGCCAATACGCATAATGTTCACAAAAAACATTTGTCAAGCTCTTATTCAATTTATATTTCAATATAAATAATGGTCAAGTGAAGTCTTATAATATAATAATTTTAAAAGAATAAAAATAAATGAAAGTACATTATCCGATAGAATATATTGCATATTTGTAAGAATAATTGACGTTTTTGGACCAAAACAGAAATCCAAAATGTAAAATTGGAAAGCATCCTATTTAAGACAAAAAAGTATTTATCCGTCTCTTAAGTATACATGACTTAATTTCTATCAGAGTACAAAATTGTAAAGTTGACATTGTTGCTATTTATAAGGTTTACTAAGTCTAACATTAAACAAGATGGGTAGCATGAAGGTATGGTAAGTTTGGTTTTACAGAAAATAGTCATACAGTAAGCTACATGCTGACATATATGGATATAATTGTGTGTACCAGTATACGAAAAGGTTTTCTGTCATTGTCTCAGCTAAGTATAAAATCAGAAATTCAAGCCAAATGAAAGTCATTTTTCTATGTACTGTATTTACGGTACATGATTGTTAGCTATATAAAAATTTATACTTCGCAAAATAGAGAAAAAATTCAAAAAATACAGTTAAAAAAATAAATTCAATTTTGATTTTATTTTGGTGCCTATTTAGAATGTATTTAACTTACATTGGATAGTTTAAAATAATGTAAACATGTGTAAATACTTTTAGTTACAAGGTCAGATTATAAAATATACAAAATTCTCAATATTTGTTATTATCTATGGCTTTCAATTCATAAACATATTTTTTTTAGTTTTAACCATTAAAAAAATATAGGAATAAATTTTGACAAAAGTAAGTAAATTCGTTGTCCAACATTTGTGTTTTACTGATCAAAACATCTCCTCATAGTACTGTAATAATGGCAAGACACTTGCATAGTTTGCTTTGTTGTTACTACAAGACAGTCAAAATAAACTAATTCTTTTTGACAAAAATACAATTTACAGTGGCGGATCCAGAGGGGGGGGGG